CCACCATCCCCCCTGTGCAGACTTCACGGACGTGTCACCCTGACTCATGTTTCGAAGGGCTGCAGTAGCAGAGAGGACGCTTAAGCAAAGGAACAAACAGTGAAAACTGGTGAAAAAAAAGCACATCTGAAAAACCCTTAGCTTCCCCATCCCTGTGCCCATCGCCCCTGCAGACTTCACAGACGTGTACTTCCGAGCGGACCAGAAGGCGTACCTGTGCAGAGCGGCTGAGGGGTGAGTCGGGGTTGGGTTGGGATGCCGATGCAACAGCAGGTACGAGGAGCCATAGTTGTTCAGGAGTGTTGCAGTTGTGTGCTGCAGATCACAAGTCACCTCGTACCTCTGCAGAGCGGCTGAGGGGTGAGATGGGTTGGGATGCCGATGCAACAGCAGGTAGAGTGCTTTTGAGACGTCTCAAAAACACCCCCACTACCGATGCAACAGCAGGTAGGTGCCGTAGTTTCCGAGGGGTGTTGCAGTTCCGCGCTACAGATAAGAAGGCGTACCTTTGCAGAGCGGCTGAGGGGGAGTGTGTAGTATGGTGTACCTGTGTGTCAACCATGCTCCCATGCCATGGCCATTGTGGGACGCTCCCTTCCACCGGGACCCCCAGGTTTTTACCACTTCTGCCCTTCTCCTCTGCTTCCACACCACAACTTCTCTCCCCGTTAACTCCCTCCCTTGTTACTTTCACCACTTTCCCTGCCATTCCTTCCCCATCCTTCTCTCACTTTTGAATCCCCTTGACTCGACCCCTCCCAACCCAACCCCACCCACCTTCCCCTCCACTTGCGAGCAGCACCAATCCTGTCACTGGCAACGACACCCGCGACACTCTGCTCTGCTAGCTGCTCTGCTTCAGTCTCCGTGCTTGAGCTCCCTCCACTGCATCTCTAGAGACCTGTTTCCTTAAAGAGTTGCATTCCTTCGAGTAGCTGCTCCAGTTTTCGGTGTTTTCTCCAGTTTTCCCGAGCAATTAGGATCACTTCTCACCGGTGCTGAAACTGCTTTTCCTGCCCTCCTCTGTCTGAGGTTTTGTGAAGACTGAACCATGTTTATACCAGCGCCATCGCATGTACAGTTCCATTGTTGTGCCAAACTGGTACCGTCACCCCCCGGATATACCCCCATGGGGGGCTATAATATAACATTTTTTTTTGAGGGGGTGGGCTTATAATATAGTAAATTTATAAGCGCCGGCGTTTATAATTTGTCAAATTTGAAATTTGTTTTTAAATGTACCAAATCGAAGCATTCTCAAAGCCGGATTCACCTGGATCGAGAACGTTCGAAACTGTGCATGCATTGCGCATGAAACGGCCAACAAGGCGTGGCTTCACGCCTTCCACGCCTTGTTGGCCAGGCCAGGTTCATCGAACGTGAACCTGGCCCATGCCAGTGTACACGTACCTCGCATCACAGCGGCCCAATCAGGGTTGCATGCGATCGTGGGCACGTCGTGGTTCAGCCACGGTGTGCCCATCAACAGCAAAATTCCCCGCCACCGAGGCAAGGAGCTGCCCAGCTCAGCTCCTCTGCGGGGAATCTTGACTGGGGCCACCCTTTTCCCGCAGAGGAGGCCGGGCCGCGAAAATGAAGGGGTCTCGGGCGAGGGCTTCATACAGCCCTCATTCTCGACTTTTGCCTTCAGTTTCTTTGTTCGTTTGGCCTGCCGTGGCCATGGCGGGCCTTCCAGGCACGCATTTCTTGTTCCGCCGCCATCCTGCTGCCAGAGAAAACACCCGCCGAGACACCTGTGACTAGTCTCAATGGCAGTCGCGCCCTGCGCCCGTCCCTCCGTGTCAACCAGTAGCTCCTCCCGTTCCTCCCACTCCTCCAACTCCTCCTGCACCTCCCGCTCCCCCGGCACCTCCGGTTCCTCCAGCTCCTCCGTCCCCTCCTGACCCGCCTGTGTTTGGTGCTCCACGTCAGGGGGTCCTGCAGCTTCTCCTCCCTCCTGGCTACTCGGCGTTTGACGCGTACCTGTCCGAGCCCGACCGCGCCGGTGGCGCATCGTCTTCCTCCGCACCGTCGCCACGCTGGGGAGCTCCGGCTGATTGCCCGTTGGACGAATCCGCGACTGGTGCGGAGGATGACGTGGAGTTTTGGGCTGCCGACGGTCTTCCAGAGCACCTGCCTATTCCCACCTTCCCCCCCCCCAATAAGAAACGGCCCCACCCTTCTCGCGAGAATCGCGATGCCCGTCCTCCCTCCCCCAGGCACAAGCCTTCAAGTCACAAGCGGCACTCTTACACATCGCAGGAGAAACTGCAGTGGATTCTCAAGCTTGAGTCCGGGCAGATGAGCGTGCGGCAGATGTCTCGCCAAACCGGCATCTCCCGAAGGTCACTCGCAGAATGGAAGACCCGGAAGGCTGACCTGGAGGGCGCGCATGTTGCTCGCAAGCGTCTTCATGGGCACGGAAGGAGCTCGTGGTATCGCGACATGGAAGCTGAAGTCTACAGGAGGTTTCTTGCCCACCGTAAAAAATGTCTCGCGGTCTCGATCGCTCGCCTACAGAAGTGGTCGCATGAGGTGATGAAAGAATTGCACCCACAGGTAAAGTGGTCCGGCTCGCAGCGGTGGACTGAGCGGTTTCGCCGCCGTTGGAATCTGACAACCCGAGCGAAGACCAGGGTCGGCCAGAAGCTTGCTGCCAGTGAGTTTTGTGGGAAATGGTTGCAGTTTAATGTGTACTGCTTTGTGTTGTTTGTCTCTTTATGTTTCAGGGTTGAATTTTAACGCGTCATTAATACTGTCTTCTCTCTTTCCCTCCCACCCGTACTCCCAGACTGCGAGACTGACGTTAGGAATTTCTGGAAGTTCGTGCGTCACACCCGTCGCCAATACAAGATTGACCCGCAGTGGATAATAAACGCGGACCAGACACCACTGTGGCTCGAGATGCCTGCCGAACGCACAGTCGAGGAGGTGGGTCTGCGCTCTGTGCCTATTTACGGTGATGCTCGCCTGCACTGCCAGCGGTGAGAAGCTGAAGCCGTGGGTCTTCTTCAAACGGAAGACCCTGCCTAAAGGGGATTTCCCTTCAGGTGAGCATTAACACCCACTGCTGCATGTTTTTTTTTTCAATGTCTACTGATGTTGTATGTGCGTTTGTGGCTGTGCAGATGTTACGGTGTCCGTCCATCCCAACGGTTGGATGGACGCGGACGGAGTCATCGAGTGGCTCGACGGGGCAGTGAAGCCGTTCGTCCACCCCAAGTTCGGAGTGAGGCCCCGCAAAGCGGTGCTCGTCTTGGATTCGTACCGCGGGCACCTGACTGCGGAGGTGAAGAAGAAGTTCGGGGAGCTGAACATCGTCCCTGCCGTTATCCCAGCTGGCTGCACCTCGGAGATTCAACCTCTGGACGTCGCGGTGAATCGCTCCTTCAAGGCATCCGTTCGCCAGCTCTACCAGGAGTGGTTCGAGAGCGAGGGGGTCGACACCTTGACAAAGAAAGGTGAGAGAGGCAGGCCATGCGTGTGCTGCTTTATCAGTTTGTAGCGGTGGCTGACTTTTGATTGTTTAAATGTTATGGCAGGCAACATCAAGAAGCCACCACCCGAGCTAACGCTCAAGTGGATATCAGCGGCTTGGAAGGCCGTGCCCAGGGACTTGATTCAACGGGCTTTCCTCACCTGTGGCATTAGTAACGCCCTGGATGGGTCCCAGGACAAGATCTGCCTGCAACACAGGCGCGACGAGCTTGAGGGCGACGAAATAGACATCGACGACGACATTGCAGCAGATGGCTTTTTCTGCAACAACGTAGAAGAACCAGAGTCGGACTCTGAGGCCGACCCGGATGATCCTACCACAGCTGATGACTAGATTACGTAGATTTAGAAATTGCTGTAGCCTGTGAGACTCGTAGGTAGATTTAGAACTGTAATTAGAAAAAACTGTAGATAAACTGACTTTGTAGTTAATTAGATGAAAATATAAGTTGTTAATGTGGTTAGTGAAGCTTGTAGAAAAAAAATATTTAAAACAGTGGCGGTTATAATGTGTAAGGTACAGGTATGCGGCTATAATCCGTACGACTCTAGGGTATGCGCTTATAATCGAGGAGGGGATATAAGCGCCATATGCCAATTAGGAGCGCCAGGCGCTTATCCTAGGGTGGCGCTTATATCCGGGGGGTGACGGTATATTGTTGTAGAAATTTTGAACACACCAACCTCTATGGAATAGAACATAGTAGTCGCACTGTCAATATCTAACAGTGACAACTGACGTACCGCACACTGTTGCCAGTGTACAAGGCACGCACACAGAACAACACTCCCTGTACAGCAAAACAAACTACTACCAAACCTCTATTGGAGAAGAGCGTGCAAGAGTACGGTACCACCAGAGCAACTGGAGCTTTGGTGACAAGAGTACGGTACCACCAGAGCAACCGGAGCTTTGGTGACAAGAGTACGGTACCACCAGAGCAACTGGAGATTTGGTGACTGTAGCACCATATGCCTATCTGTGCGGTGCGAGTAGCACCTGTGACCTGTCGCATGCCCATCGGGCCATCAGGCAACCATTGACTCCATGCTCAGTACCGTGCATCACACTTGGAACAGGAATCTGAGGTCTTCTGTTGTGAGGCGCGACCGGTTCATAGCTGTGGCTGACTCGCCATATGCACTCTCGATCATCGTGCGCTTGCGCTCCTGTTCATGAGGCAGTGAGCCCAGGGAGATTTTTACAGGCATTTTGATTGGGTTGGGGGAGAGATGAGTTTAGCATGAGAAGAGAAGCGTGATTGTTCCAGGGAGTTTTTGAGAATTCTCAAAAACTCCCTGCAGATGAGTTTAGCATGAGATATAGCGTGATTGTTCCAGAGCAACTGAAAATGCATGTGACACCGGCAGTTGAGAGAAACAGAACAGCACTGCCATCATCACCACCACGGCCGCTCAACACGCTCAAAGAGCACTTTTCACCAACCAGCCACATACACTCGGCCATGGTGAAGCGCGCCACTCGCACGGGGCGGGTCTGGCTAATGCCTCATCCCAGCCAGCCCCCGTACCCACCTGCAGCTCCAGGATCCGACCCCCCGAGACCCTCCCCCACCCACCTGCAGCTCCAGGATCCTGTCCTCGATGGTATCGGCCACGGTGAAGCGCGCCACACGCACGGGGCGAATCTGGCCGATGCGGTGCGCGCGGTCAATTGCCTGATCCTCCACTGCGGGGTTCCACCAGAGGTCCATGAGTATCACGTGGTTCGCCGCTATCAGATTGAGCCCCACGCTGGCTGCTTTCAGGGACACCAGGATCACCGTGATCTGATAGGGGGGGGAAAGGAGGGAGAAAAAGATCACAAGGAAGAGGGGAGGAAACGTATGGGGCTGTTAGGCTGCACAATTATTTCTTTAGGCACATATAAAGGGGCGGTCAATTGCCTGGTCCTCCACTGCGAGGTTCCACCAGAGGTCCATGAGAATCACGTGGTTCGCCGCTATCAGATTGAGCCCCACGCTCGCTGCCTTGAGAGACACGAGGATCACCGTGATCTGATGAGGGGGAATGGAGGGAGAGAAGGATCACAAAGGGGAGGGGAGGAATCATATGGAGCTGCTAGGCACGGTCGATGGCCTGGTCCTCCACTGCGGGGTTCCACCAGAGATCCAAGAGTATCACATGATTCGCCGCTATCAGATTGAGCCCCACGCTGGCTGCTTTCAGGGACACCAGGATCACCGTGATCTGATGGGGGGGGGAGAGAAGGGACACGAAGAAAATCACTGTGATGTGAATGGGTGCAGGGATGGGGGTGTTAGGCTGCACAATACAAGTACTGAGGGGTGTGTTGGAGTGCGGTCGAGAGGCCACAGACATGGTGCCATCGAGGCGCACGTGGGGGATGGCGGCAACAGCCAGGTGCACCAACCTTGGGAATACCACCTCCCAGCCTTGGGAATACCACCTACCAGCCTTGGGAATACCACCTACCAGCCTTGGGGGTACCACCTACCAGCCTTGGGAATACCACCTACCAGCCTTGGGAATACCACCTACTAGCCTTGGAAATACCACCTACCAGCCTTGGGGGTACCACCTCCCAGCCTTGGGAGTACCACCTACCAGCCTTGGGAATAACACCTACCGGCCTTGGGAATACCACCTACCAGCCTTGGGGGTACCACCTACCAGCCTTGGAAATACCACCTACCAGCCTTGGGAATACCACCTACCAGCCTTGGGAATGCCACCTACCAGCCTTGGGAATACCACCGACCAACCTTGGGAATACCACCAACCCACCTTGGGAATACCACCGACCAACCTTGGGAATACCACCGACCAACCTTGGGAATACCACCGACCAGCCTTGGGAATACCACCGCCCAACCTTGGAATACCACCGACCAACCTTGGAAATACCCCCGACCAGCCTTGAGAATACCACCAACCAGCCTTGGGAATACCACCGACCAACCATGGGAATACCACTGACCAGCCTCGGGAATACCCCCGACCTGTGGATCAGAGGTGAAATCAGCGATGGCCCTGTCTCGAGCGGTGACGGACATGGTGCCGTCGAGGCGCACGTGGGAAATGCCGGCAGCAGCCAGGTGCAGCTCGAGGAGGTCCAGCATGCGCGTCCACTGTGAGAACACTATCGCCTTCTCTCTCACCATTAAGGGAGAGGGAGAGGAGCCAGCACTCACTATCGCCTTTCCCCTGTCCTCCGAGGGAGTGTTTACTAGTGCTAGATCTCTCACCACCTCCACCCCTTGACTCGGTAATCCGTTCTCCTGTGCCACAGGCACCAGTGCCAGCTCACGCTGTTCTGTGCTTGGCCTTGCGTGCCCCTCTGCTGCCCTGCCTGCTGTGCTTCCGAAGGGAGTAGAAAGGGCAGGGGCGGGTGGAGGAGGAGGAGCAGGGCGGGCGAGACCGGTGGGCGCAGGGGGGGCGAGGGGTGGAACGTGTGCAGATGGTGTAGGCGGGGCAAGGGGCATAAGGGGAGCATGGGGCGGATGGGGCGAATGGGAGGCAGGAGATGCAAGGCGTGCAGACGAAGGGGTTGCCGTGGAAGAAGGGAGTGCAGGGACAGCAGAGAGTGCCGGAGGTGCAATGGCGTCAGGGGCGGCAGGAGGTGCAGGGGCAGCAGAGGGTGCATGGGGTGGAGGGGCGGCAGGGGATACTGAAGGCGGCGATGCAACATGTGGCAGCACTGATGCGAGAGCAGCTGCTGAGATCTGCAACCTATGCCGACTGCCGCACGCCCCTCTTGCTCCACCTCCACTCCCATCAGAACCTTCCTGGCACCCCTTTGCCATCCCACCTGCTTGCCAAGACCCCGCCTCTTCCGCCTGCCCAATCTGCCCCGCCTGCCCAATCTGCCCTGCTTGCCCAATCTGCCCCGCCTGCCCAATCTGCCCCGCTTGCCCAATCTGCCCCGCCTGCCCAATCTGCCCCGCCTGCCCAATCTGCCCCGCCTGCCCAATCTGCCCCGCCTGCCCAACCTGCCCCGCCGGCCCAATCTGCCCTGCCTGGCCTGCCTGCCCCATCAGCCCAACCAGCCTGGCAGTATTTTCCTCACTCAACCCCACCCCCACCTCCACCCCCACCCCCTCCTGTGCCTCCTGCTTCTCCGCCTTCACTACTCCCCCAGCCACATCAGCCCCCGCACCCCTCATCAGAGCAGCTCTTGCACCCCCAGCCCCTTGCTCTTCCCTCTTGACTGTGGCATGACCTGCTGCAGCAGGTGTAGAGTCAGGTGCAACAGATGCTGCAGCAGGTGTAGAGTCAGGTGCAACAGATGCTGCAGCAGGTGTAGAGTCAGGTGCAGCGACAGATACTGAAGCAATTGCAAGCTTAACATCAGGCACGTCAGGTCTAGAACCAGGTGCAGCAGAAGCTAAAGCAAAGACAGCAGGTTTTACATCCGGGACGTCAGGTGTTGAGTCAGGTGCATCAGGTGGTGGACCAGGTGGTGGTAGGTCAGGTGCCCGCCCACCTGATGGACCAAACACCCCTGCATCCCCATCTCCACCACTCTCAACCATTTCGTCTTTCACTGCACCTCCTGTCAAACGTGCAGACGGTACATCAGGTACCCACCCACTAGGTGCCCCTTCCCCAGGTGTCCCTTCCCCAGGTGTCCCTTCCCCAGGTGCCACATCTGCCCCTCGCGACCCCACATCCTCCTCCTCCAGCACAGCGCTTGCCGCAATCTCTGCCCACAGCCCCGCCATCCACCCTGCCTCCTCTGGTTCTTGCTTCTGTTCTTGCTGTTGCTGTTGCTGCTGCTGTTGCTGTTGTGGTTGTTGCTGTTGCTGTTGCTGCTGCTGTTGCTGTTGTGGTTGTTGCTGTTGCTGCTGCTGCTGCGGCTGCACACTCGTCCCTTCTCCCTGTTGCAACAATCCCCCATCACCTCCCCCGTCGCATGCCTCCTGCTTGACCTCTCCCAGGCCCCCAACCCCACCAGAATTTCCACCTGCACCTGCTGCACCAGCGTCATGTCTCGTTACACAGTCTCCTGCACCCCCTCCCACTGCCCCACCTCTCACCTCTTCCTCCACAGAGGGAGGGGTAGAGGAGGGAAGGGAGGTGGGAGGAGTGGAAGTGGGAGGTGCGGAGGTGGGAGGTGGAGGTGGAGGAGTAAAAATGAATGAATTGGAGGTGGGAGGGGTACTTGAGAGAACAGGGCCAGAGACAGTACGTGCACTGGGTGGGGGCATGGTGGGATGCGATGGCGGGAGGGAAGAGGGATGGGAGGATGGGAGAGAGGCGGGACCGGAGAAGGGAATGGAGGAGGGAAGGGAGGAGGGAAAGGAGGATGGGAGAGAGGAGGGAAGTGAGGAGGTGGGAAGAGTAGCAGCAGCAGGAGGAGAAGCAGACGAAGGAAGGGGAGCAGGGAGCATGAGAGGGAGGGCAGCAGCAGCAGCAGGGCCAGCAGAAGGAGGAGGAGAAGCGGGCATGAGAGGGAGGGCGAGAAGGTAGTTGAGGACGGCACGAGCCTTGGTGGACATGCGCGAGGGAGAGAAGAAGAGCGGATCATTTTCAGCCTCCAGCTGCTGCTGCTGCTGCTGCTGCCCTCCCCTCCTGTCTGCCAGTGAAGTTGGTGCTAACGCGCCTGCCGCTGCTCCCATCCCCATCCCACCCCCACCACCACCCATCACCACCCCTCCCGCACCCATCCCGGCGCTCCCTCCACCTTCCAGCTCCGAAAACTGGCAGAGCGAAGCAGGCGAGAGGGCTTTGGAGCAGCAGGGGCAGAGGGCGGGATCACACTGAGCGAGGTGCTGCAGGGCACATTGCTCGCAGAAGGTGTGCAGGCACACCGACAGCACCGGCACCTCCGCTGCATCCCCACATAACTCACACACTGCCTCTCCCCCCACCTGTGCAACCTGCCGAACTAGCTCGGCGCGCTTACCCACTGATAGCCTCCCTACTGACCCGGCAAACACACTCCGCCTCCCCGGCGCCCCACCACTCCCCCCTCCCCCTCCGCCAACCCCGCCCCTCCCCCGTGATGCTGCTCCTCCTCCTCCATTGCCTCTGGTCCGGGTGTCTGGCGCGATGGGGGCGCCCTTGGCGAGGGCGGGGTGGTTGCAGGCCTGGCGCAGGCGCAGCAGCATCGTGAGAATGTGCATGTAGTTGTTTTGCACCGTGCCCGCTGCCGCGTAGTCCTGGTAGGTTGAGAGGTGGGGAGAAGGGAGGAAGGACAGAGATATGGTAGAGGGGATGAAGGGAAGGAAGGCGCAGCAGCATGGTGAGAATGTTCATGTAGTTGCTCTGCACTGTGCTCATGTAGTTGCTCTGCACTGTGCTCCCTGCCGCGTAGTCCTCGTACGTAGGAGCAAGGGGAGAAAGAGGGGAGGAGAGGGTGGGGATGACTGCAGGCGCAGCAGCAGCATGGTGAGAATGTGCATGTTGTGGTTCTGTACCGTGCCTGCTGCCACATAGTCCTGGTGAGAAGAGAAGGGGAGGAAGAGGAGAGAGAAGAGGGACGAGAGTGGGAATGAGGGCAGGAAGCAGTGCGATGAGGATGTGCATGTAGTTGCTCTGTACCCCTGCACAGGACGTGTTGCACAGTTCTGGTGAGAAGAGAGAGGAGAAGGGAGAGGGGAGTAGAGACAGATAATAAGGGGGATGAGGGATGCGCATGTTGTCCTGGCAGGGAGAAATTTTCTATTGATGCAGAAGGGGTGGAACTGGCAGCGCCAGGAGGCCTCAACCTCAACTGAGAGGTAGAAGGATGTTCTTTCAGATTGGGGGTGAACTGTGTAGGTAGAGTGCGTGTGAATGTACTATTAAAAGCAGCTGCGGCTTCACTCACGTGGAACTGGCGCTTGGAGGAGGCCTCGAGAGAGAGATAGAAGGCCCTCTCCTCTGCTGTGAACTCCGCTCGCTGCAGCGCCACTATGCGCGGTGGCAGGTTCACTATGGGCGCCCCCTTGATGCGCGTGGCTGGTGGGGTGGGGGGACAGGAGAGGGCGGAGCAGAGGGAACGGGAGAATGGAATGATGAGGATGTGCCACTACATGAGGTGGCAGGTTCACTATGGGCGCTCCCTTGATGCGCGTGGCTGGTGGGGGAAGTGGGGGAGGGCAGGTAAGGTCGGCGAGCAGAGGGCAGGGGAGAAGGGGATGATGGGGATCACTGCCCCACCACTATGTGCGGTGCCAGGTTCACTCACAGCGGGCGCACCTTTAATGGTGGTGCGGGTACTCGTGTGATTGATGCAGCACAGCTGACCAACCAACTAACAACTAGTACACACCTTAGGTGCATCTGCGCAGAGCATCACAGCGAGCAGCACAGCCGGCAGGCGCTCAAAGCCCTGGGACGGGTTGACTCGGCCCTTGATGAACTGTGGTGCGGAACGGAGCGTACTCGTGTGATGCAGCACAGCAAGCAGGGACTCAGGGACTTACCCTTGGTGCGGCGGAGCATGACAGCGAGCAACACTGCCTGCAGGCGCTTAAACCCCTGGGAGGGGATGCGCGTGATCGGATCCTTGATGGTTGTGCGGAAGGATGCGTACTCATGTGGGACAGCAAGCAAGGACTCAGGGACTCACCCTTGGTGCGGCGCAGCATGACAGCCAGCAGCACGGCCTGCAGGCGCTTAAAGCCCTGGGAGGGGTTGCGCGTGATGGGGTCCTTGATGGTTGTGCGGAAGGACGCGTACTCGTCGTACGGGGTGAAGCGCAGGAAGCGCAGGTAGGAATACACATCGTCCACCGCATTCTGCATGGGCGTTCCCGACAGGCACCACCGCTTCTTGGCCCTCAGAGCCCAACATGCTCTCGCTACCTGGGGGTGGGTGGGGGGAAGGTCAACCAGGAAGCACAAGAAGCGCAGGAAGCGCAGGAAGCAAAGGTAGGAATACACATCGCCCACGGCGTTCTGCATGGACGTTCCCAACAAGCACCACCGCTTCTTGGCTCTTAAAGCCCAGCACGCCCTTGCCACCTGAGGGAGGGGAGAGGAGGGGGATGAAGGGGATGAAGGAGATGAACGGGGCGAGTGCAGGTAGGAATACACGTCGTTCACCGCGTTCTGAGCGTCGTCGTGCATGGGAGTACCGGAGAGGCACCACCACTTCTTGGCTCTCAACGCCCAGCACGCCCTTGCCACCTGGGGGAGGGTGCAATGGGGAAGGAGAATGGTTTTGAGGCGTGGAACAGCGGAACAGCGCGTACTCATCATACGGGGTGCAGCGCGGGAAGCGCAGGTAGGAATACAATACACATCGTCCACTGCGTTCTGCATCGGCGTGCCCGACAGGCACCACCGAATCTTAGCTTGAAGGCATGCATATGCCACTAACCCCCCCGCCCCTGAATTGATCTGGTGGCCTTATCACCCACCCACCTGCGTGTTGCGGTTCTTAATGGCCTGAGCCTCGTCCAGCACCACTCGCTGCCACGCCACCCCCGCAAGCGGACCCCCCACACTCCCCCCACTGCCCCCACTCCCACCCTCACCACCACCCGCCTTCCTCTTCCCCCCCGCCCCGCCCCCACCACCCCCACCAATCCCCATCACCTCCTCCCACGAGGGCTCTTTCCCTTTGCCCTTCCCCCCCTCGCCCCCATCACCGCCTCTACTTCCCCCCACGTCCATGGCGGCGATGGCATAGGTGGTCAGCACCACGTCGTACGATGCCACCTCCGCTGCACTCCGCGTGCGCCCCGGCCCATGATACACCAGCACCGATAACCCTCTTCCCCCGCCCCCTCTTCCTCCTACTCCTGTGTTTCCTCCTCCTCTCCTCCCTCCTCCTTCCCCAGTTCCACTAGCCAACCTCTCGTCTCCCACACCGCCAGCAGCGCCAGCAGAACCAGAAGCAGCAGCAGTGCCTGCTGCATCCCCCAGGGCACCTACGCGCTCGCGTATTTCCCGCTCCCACTGCCGTAGAATGCTCGTGGGGCACACCACCAGCGTGCCGCCGCTCACGCGCTTGCCCCTGCCACCTGTACCGCACGCTGCTGACGTGGCAGCTGCTGATGCAGCAGCTGCTGACGTGGCCGCTGCTGACGTGGCGGCTGTAGAGAGCTCAGGTGGCGTTGCTGCACCTGCCACTGACAGCATTGGAGCTGCTAGTCGTTGTTTCTTCCCATCCCATCTCCCCCGCCCCCTCTCCCTCTCCTCGTCTTCCTCCTCCAGATCAACCACTTCCATCTTGCTGCTGCTCCCTACTCCCATTCCTCCTCCTCCTGATGTTGCCACCGGCACCGCAGCAGCGGCAGCAGCAGCAGCACCACCACCACTTGTACCAGCGCCAGATGCACCAGCACCAGAAGGACCAGCATCACATGTACCCGCACCACCTGTCAGCAGCAGCATCTGCCCCTCCTCCCCAGCAACCCCCTTCCCCTTCTCCCTCTCCTTCCTCTCCCTCTCCCGGCCCTCCCGCACCCCCAGCACAATGAGTGCAATCGTGGTCAGCGTCTTCCCCAGCCCCTGGTCATCCGCCAGTATCCCCCCAGCAGGGATGGACGCCTCTCTGCGTCTCATCCACGCCACTGCCATGCGTTGATGTGTCAGCAACGGCACTCTTAAAGCCCCTGCCGGCATTTCTACCTCCTCTGCTGTTCCCGCGAGGGAGAGACCTTCCAGAATTTGCCGCATTGCGGTTTGCTGGTCTGGAGGGGGGTTGGGAGGGGTTGGAGAGGGTGCTTGGGGATACAGGTGCGGATGGTGGTGATGGTGGTGGTGGTGGCTGTGGTGGTGGCTGTGGTGGTGGGTGGGATGCGGATGGGTGTGGCTCGGTGGGAGGTGGTTGTGTGTGGTTCCGGCATCCACTCGCATCCTCTTCGCAGCTTGCTCTCCTGCCCTGTCTGTGTCCATGCGCCCACCAACACCACCATTGCTCCCCGTGCCTCCTCGAATGCTTGCCGGCAGCGACCTAAACTGCGGCAATCCAACCGATGGTGAGCTATCCCTTGTAATAAACGGAGCTAGATCAGGTTCTAAGTGTAATGTTGTGTGTGGGTCTATGCTATAGGCTCTGTGTCCCATGCCTGCTGCGTGTGCTGCGGGTGTTGTGACTGCTGTATGCAGCGTGTGTGCTTGCCGTGCCACATGCTGACTCAGCTCAGCCTGTGGCAACCGTTGCACCAGCCCCTCGTCCCGCATGCTCCTGAAGTGCCTCAGAGCGTCAGCCGCACTCCTCCTCCTCGCCTCCACAAACTCTCGCCTCTCCTCCTCCCTATCCGCCCCTCTCCCTCCCATCCCAACCCCAAACCACTGCCATGCATTACCACCTGCGCCTTCCCTCCCTCTCCTCCTCCCACTCCCACCACCTTCCCCCTCTCCGTCCTCTTCCTCCTCATCATCATCCCCTTGGTCTCGGAGCAGCACGCGCTCGCCAAACCGGTCTCTCACCTCCTGCTCCAGAAGCACCTGCTGCCTCGCCTCCTGCTGCTGCCGCTGCCACTGCAAAACCTCTTGCTGCACCTGCTGCTGCTGCTGCTGCTGCTGCTGGTTAATCTGCTGCTGCTGCTGCTGGTTACCCTGAAGCTGATTACGCTGCTGCTGCCCAACGCTCCCCCGGCCTCTGCTTCTCTCACCTTCGTCCCGCCGACCCCTCTGCCTCTGCGGTGACAGAACAGCCTTCAGCTGCCCCAGCTGCTCCCACTGCTGCCTCACCTCATCACCCACCTTATCATCCTCATCATCACTCGCCATACTGATCACACTCACAACACTACTCTCACTCCCCTCACTCCCCTCTCTCCCTACCCCTTCAACCACACCCCTCCCCTCCCTGCCCTCCCTCCCATCACCAGCACCGCCTAATCCCAATCCTGTACCTATCCCCACGCCACCCCCCAATCCCCGAACCGTGTTTCCAGTCGTGCCGCCCACCATGCCGCCCATTACGCCACCCGGCATGCCGCCCGGCACGCTACCCAGAACGCCGCCCGGCACGCTACCCAGAACGCCGCCCGGCACACCGCCCAGAGCGCCACCCGGCATGCCGCCCCCCATGGAGCGCATCATCTGTCTCTGCGCGGTTCTGAGCCTCGCCTGCAGCATGGCTTCCTGCACCTCCCGCCCGCTCAGCTCCATCACATCCTCATCCTCGTTACTAGCCACCCTGTTACTAGCACCACCAGCCCTCCTGCTGCCGTTCATGTTCCCGCTGCTTCTGCTGCTGCCCAATTGCCCCTGCTGCTGTCCCTGCTGCCCCTGCTGCCCCTGCTGTTTCTGCTTCTGCGGCTGCTGCTGCTGCTGCTGCTGCTGTTGCCACAGGAGCTGCTGCAGCTGCTGTTCTGCGTACTCGTTGTCACTACCATCATCACTGTCGGCATCAACCTCATCATCGCTCAACCACACCACGTCCATCTCATCCTCTTTCGCTTCTGCACTTGCACTCCTGCCTGCTGAGCTAGCGCCACCAGCACCAGCACCCGCTGTTGCTTTTTCAATCGACTCCAAAGGGCCATCTGCACCTGCTGCTGCACCACCAGCTGCACCTGCTGCTGCACCACCAGCACCAGTGGCGTCGGCAGTGGCAGCGGTGGCGGCAGGTGAGGCGTTGGTGGTGGTGGCAGCGGCAGAAGAACGAGGGCCTGTGGGAGAAGCAGCCGGTGCAGCATCAGCAGCAGCAGCAGCGGCGACGGCGGCAGCAGCAGCAGCAACAGCAGCATCAGAAGAAGCAGGAGCAGTAGGGGGGTCAGAAGCACCCGCAGGATCAGAAGCAGCACCTCCATCCACCGTCAAACCACCATCCTTCGGCAAGCCTCCACCCATCACCCATGCTGTAACGCTCTCGCCATGCGCCGAGCCTACACCGTTCCCATGCATGCGTGGCGCATCCTCATCTCCTCCCTCCTCACTCTCACTCTCACTCTCACTCTCACTCTCACTTTCAATCTCACTCTCCCTCTCCCTCTCCCTCTCCCTTTCCCTCTTACTCTCACTCGCCTTTCCCGCTTCCCTCGCAGAAGCACCAGCATCTGCACCCATGACGTCAGCCATTGCGGAATTACCACCGAAAGGTAACCCTATTCTATCACTGTCTGGTAACCCTATTCTATCACTGTCTGGTAACCCAATCTTTGCACTGTCCGGCAACCCTAAATCGACACCATCTGGTAACACCGTACTACCACCGTTTATATCAGCAGCATCGGGTAACCCCATGTCGGCACCGTTGGTTAACCCTGCATCAAAACCGTCGAGTAACCCTATATGAGCACCTTCGGGTAACCCTATATTAACAGCGTTGGGTAACCCTGTATAAACACGGTCGGGCAACCCTATATCAACAGAGTGTGGTAATCTTCCAGGAACACGGGCAGAGCCCCCGACATCCGTACCTCCTCTTTCACGGCCGGCTATCCCACTCCCTTCCCTTCCACCCTCCTCCCCCTCCTCCTCGCTTCTCACGTCGCGAAAATCGCCACCGTTGAAATGATCCGCCTTCTCACCATCAACGGTCGCGATGTTTTTAAGATCGCAGTCGGCGTCATCGTTAATTCTCTCCTCAGTGCTACACTCCTCCTGGTTTTCACGGAAGTAATCGCCGACATTAGTGAGTCCGACATCCCCGTTGAAAAGAAACTCGTTATTGACACCGGCTATATCCTGGCTTTTACAATTTTCTGCGCCATCAATTGTACCGACATCCAAACCGAGTGACGTGTCACGCGGGGACGCAGTGGTGACATGGTGTGCTGATGTGGATGGCATCGTACTGCTAGAGCATGCGGTTCGCGCATGAGCTACAAGGCGCAACAGCGACGTCCTGTGCTATGACGGAATCGATTAGTCCTATGCCACCCTGAATGAACTAGTAGCAAGCGTGACTAAGAGGAACTTCAACAAACCAGAAGTACACCTGAGAGAAAAGAGTGAGAAGATTATAACATATACATATACGTTATGTTAACACATAGATGCGTGGTCCCATGGTGTAGTGGTCATCACGTTTGCTTTACACGCAAAAGGTCACGAGTTCGAAACTCGTTGGGGCCAGGTTTTTGCCGAATGCAACTTCTCACCTCCCTGACAGTTTTCCGCTTGGGGTTGAAGTCGCTTGAAAATTCTCAACAAGCAACGCCCAACACTAACCGCGTTTCGTTTTTTTTGCAAACCTTAAGAAACCCAGCCTTTGTTCCTCACAGTTGAGGGAACATAATGAACGTTGTTCCTCTTGACGACCCAGCATCGTCGGATCTTTTGACGACTGAGTCAAATCCGTTCGATCGGCTTCCACAAGAGATCCTCGCCGTCATCTTGCGCCACGTGGCGCCATCCGGCACGTCCTTTCAGCACGCGTTGGTGTGCAAGCGATGGCATTGCGCGGCGTGCCTCGCGCAGTCATCAGTCCACGTGGCGAAATCTCGAGCCATCTCCTCCCCGCGCCTCCTCCTCGCCCTCTCCCGCTTTCCCCGCCTCACCCACCTACATATCGATCGAGACGGAGTCGATTTCTTAGACGACGGGTTCCTGACAATTCTCGCTAAAGGTGCTTGTAACGGGTGTGACAATTACGCGGACGAGGAGAAGGAAACGGAATTGGAGGAGGAGGAAAGTCACGAAGAAGGATCGGGAGCCATTGGCGCCGGGCAGAGATTAGGTCTGAACGGCACTGGCAGTACTAGAGTCAGCGGCAATGGTGGTATAGTGGACGGCACCCGCGGTGGACTGGGCGGCACTGGTGATACAGTGGGCGGCGGCGATCATAAGCCACATGGCATCCGACACTCCTGTGGCATTGGCTCGTCACTGGAGAGAATGGCGAGAATGACCATCGACGGCACCCGCGCAGCAGAACAACATGCTCTCGCGTCCCCGCTCCCACCGCCGCATACCCAGCCTCGCACCTCCTCTCTCCGCTCTCTCTTCCTCGCGGAGGACCCGCGCTCCCCCCCGCGCATCACAGCAGCAGGCCTGGACTCTCTCTTTCTCCACTGCCGCCTCTTACGCTCCCTCGCCCTGCACTGCGGCCGTGTAGTCACCACACTTCCCCCCTCTTTAGTCACACTGCCTGCACTCACATCCCTAGATATTTCCATGCCCTGCCTGGGCAGTCTTCTGGAAAATTTCGGCTCCCTGACCGTCTTGAGGGTTCTTAGGCTGGAGAGCCCCAGTCTTAGCTCTCTGCCTGAAAGCCTCGGGCAGCTGAAATTACTGGAAGAGCTCACTCTCCGGTCCCTGTCCGCCCGGAATCTGCCCGATTGGATCGGGCAGCTTAGCAGCCTCACCTGCCTGAACATCGAAAGTTGTTCTTTTCGGCACCTGCCCGAGTCTCTGGGCAGCCTTCGTTCCTTAACCTCGCTTCGCCTCTCGTCCCTTGATTTCGACTCCTTGCCAGAATCCATCGGCCAGCTTTCCGCCTTGAAACATTTCGTCCTGGAAAAAATGCCCGTGACAAGTCTGCCCGAGTTTTTTGGGCACCTGGAAAACCTCTCTGTGCTCCAATTGAACGACTGTGATTCGCTCCTCTCCCTGCCTGACTCCCTCTTCACCCTGCCTTCCCTATCCACCTTTCTCATTGGCTGCTGGGCCCTCCCCGCACTACCAGACAAAATCTCCCACTTGTCAGTTTTAGAACGTTTGGAGTTGAACTCATGTGAGGGCCTCACCTCCCTTCCAGAATCTCTTTCCGAGCTGCCCGCCCTGAAACACCTCGAAATTTCTTCCTGCCCCTGCCTAAAATCCCTACCAGCATCACTCAACCAGCTGAAGCATCTAACCACCCTGGAAATCCACAATTGCGACTCGCTCTCGCTCCTCCCCCAATCGCTCCCTCTCCTCCCGTCCCTCTCGCGCCTTGTCATTGTAGGGTGCTCCCATTTGAGAGAGCTTCCGAGGAACCTGGGCCAGCTGAGCAGTCTACGGGTGCTGGAGTTGGGTCTGTGCAAGAGCCTGAGGAGTTTGCCAGACTCGATAATGGAATTAGGTCGGTTGGAAAGAGTGGTGGTGCTCGGGTGCAGGAGACTGGAGAGTGTGCCGGAAGGGATTGCAGAGATGCCGAGCGTGCAAGAGGTGGTCTTTAGAGAGTGTGATGCTCTTGTGTGACTGTATTGAGACGGTTGGAGCACTTACATTCGACATGGGCAAACTTTAGGGGAGAGCTGCCGAGTCTAGGGGTGCTGGAGTTGGGGCTGTGCAAAAGCCTAAGGAGTTTGCCGGCTTCCATCATGGAATTGGGTCGGTCAGTTGGAAAGAGTGGTGGTGCTTGGGTGCAGGAGGCTGGAGAGTATGTCGGAGGAGGGGATTGCAGAAATGGCAAGTGTGCAAGAGGTGGTGTTCAAGGAGTGTGTCGCTCTTGTGTGAATGGTTGAATTGAATGGTAGTGGAGTGGAGACGTGTGTGAGTCGACTCAAAAGAGGTGGTGTTTAAGGAATGTGACGCTCTTGTGTGACAGGTAGTGGAGTGGAGACGTTTGAGCCGAGGCTTGAGAAGCCTGCTTGTGGAGGTAGTAGGAGGCGGGGTTGTAGGGATGAGATAATTGTACATGAGGTACTGATTAAAATTGTATATTGTGATGTACCATATATACAAACCGTACAGTATTTATAACAGAGGTTGCAGGTACATCAGGGGGGAGTTATTCATGACACTTGGGATGGCCTCGTGTGTAATGCTTTCATGCCATTCATGTGAATTATCCACACATGTATTGCAGTAAGAACGGCATGCCATGCCATGCCACCGGCCCACCGCCATCGTTCGTTGCGTGTCGTTGACGCCTATGTACACAGACACAAATACATAAAAATGACCAGCACACGTGCAACTATATCTGAAGTGGATACGGTAGCCATGTACCGTAATCCCCCGTATATAAGACCCTAGGGTATTATGATAATCACCCCTAAAAAGGCTGGGGGGTATAACTCAACTAGACTCGAATAGAGTACCCGGGTCCGTATTATAGACCCGGGGGTCTACAACTGGGGGGGGGTCTTATATACGGGGGATTACGGTAGTCCATGTGTGCAGTGAACGTTCAGCACCCCTAAACCTCATCTGCACCTGCGCCACTCCCAGCCCTGCCGTCAACTCCCATGAGTCCCTCGGCCTGCCTCTGCCAACCACCTCTCCTGATTCGTCTCAAGATTCCCCTCAGCCTACGATCCACACTCACCAGCACCGCAGCCAGCATCACAGCCCCTCCCGACACCGTCGTCAGCACCCAGAAATCCCTCGGTCTGCTGATCACCGCAGCTAGCACCAGCGCTACCAGCTGCATTCCCTGCTGCAACGACTCCTGCACTCCCCCCACCGCGCCTCTCTCCTCCTCCACCACCGCCCCCTGCACCATCTGCAGCACAGACAGATCAAACACCCAGAGAGGAGCTCTTGAGAGCACCACTCCTGCCATCAGCAGCACTGCTGGTATCGGCCCTGACGATTGGAGAACCAATCCCGCGACGACACACGGCAGGAGGCACGCCAGCTGCGACCACACGGAAGCCTCGGCGGTCCGGCTCGGCCCGAGCCTGGCGCAGAGGCTCGGGAAGAGGGTTGCCCCGAGCACGCCGGTGACAGCCGCGGCTCCGCTTGCCGAGCCTAGGAGACCAAGAGGGACGCCTTGGGAGTGCAGATAGGCGCACATGAGAGATCCGAAGGAGAGGACAGTGAGGTACAGAAGGGCAAGGGCGAGGGAGGGGAAGAGGGAGGTCTGGCGGAGGTAAACTGTCCAGGCGGATCGAAGGGTGGTCAGCCAGGAGGTGAGGAGGAGGCGGAGGTGGTGGAGGGAGGAGAGCAGGTGGTTTAAGAAGGAAGGGTTGTGGGCGGTGGAGGGGATGAGGGGAGGCTCGCTGCTGCTGCTGCTTCTGGTGGTAGTGGTGGTGGTGATGATAGGGGCGGCTGGGGAGTCTGAAGGGGTGATAGGAGCAGGTGGGGTTGGATTAGCTGCTGAAGGGACCAGGATCTGCCCATCCCCTCCCTCATGCTCCTTCCCATTGTCCCCTTGTGCTTTCACTCGACTCTTAACATCCAACGCTCCATTCTTATCATCCCCTCCACGCCCCACCCCTCTCCCTCTCCCTTGTTCCTCCTCCTCTTCCTCCTCCGCTTCCTCGTCCTCCTCTTCTTCCACCTCTTCCTCCTCCCCTCCCTCACTTTCTCTCTCCCTCTCACCAGCCCTTTCGTCCTCCACCATTCCCTCCCCTGCTCTCTCCTTGCGCCTCTCCCCCAGCGCGGGCACCTGCGAGTGGACAAGCGCCAGCAGCAGCAGCTCCGCAGCAGCGGCCACGAGGACCCACACTGCCATGGCGAGCGGCAGCGACACGGGCAGTAACTCGTGACGTGCGGGCGACGCTGGAGATGTAACAGCGGAAGGGGGAGTGGCGGAGGGGGAGGCGGCGGAGGCGGAGGCGGACGTGGATGCAGAGACAGCAGCGGCCATGAGGGCGCCAGTGACGGCCGGGGCGAGCAGGCGGCAGAGCAGGTCGATGGTGCGAAGAGTGGAGTTGAGCCGCGCTCGCACGCGCTCCCGCTGCTCCCTCCCCTGCTGCTCTTGCTCCTGTCTCTGCTGTCCCTGCTGTCCCTCCCTCCCCTCCTGCTGCCCCTGCTGCTGCACAGACAGAACCTCCTGTGTCTGCGCTGCCTTGTCCCGGCAATTAGCGTCCGCATCCCCTCCCCCCCCTGCTTCGCTGACTCCACTCTCTTCTACAACGTGTGTCCGCAAGTGATGCTCTCCCCCCCCGTCCCTCCCCCCCTCCTCTCTCTCCCGCCGCGCTGATTCGCTACAAGCCTCCCCGTTATCGAACGGCACCTGCTTTTTAGTCGCATCCTCCTCATTTCCCACCACCACCTCCACTACTCCCCCTCCTCTCTCCCTTTCGTCTTGCCCCCTGTCCTCCCATCCCCCCTGCCGCCCACATCCCCTTTTCAAATTCGCAGCACCTTCCTGCTCGCAAACCCAATCCGCAATCACCACTGCCCAATCACGTTCCACCGCGATCCCGCGCGCCAATCCGGCGAGAGCAGCCGCAGCGCCCAGCACGCAAACCGCCGCCACCAGCGCCACGTCAGCTCCCGTTTCGGCTGCTCCGGTCACCCATGCGAAAAGATCAGGCCCAGCGGAACTTGCGGCGGCGGGTGCGGCGAGAAAGTCGGCGAGGTAGAGGAGAGCGGCGACGGCAATCGCGGCGAGAAACAGAGCGGCATTTTGAGCGGAGATAGCGAAGGCAGCTAGTGGTAAACGCGGACAAAGATCCACCCACGTTCCTATGGGGACGGAGAATAAAGACATCGCGAGCGACTCGGAAAGTCCGTAAAGCGCCACGAGGAGCAAAGAGGCTGATCCGGCGCTACTACCGGAGGTGACTGTAGAGGAGGAAGAGGAAGCTGACGTGGCAGTGTACGAGGAGTCTAGGAGAAAGAGCGGCACCGCGAATTCCCACAAGCGATTGGTCCATCGGGAGAGGAAATGAGAGACGTAAAGCGCGAAGAGAGTCGCCTTATGAGGAAGCTTCGAGGGAAGTCTCGGAGAGAGGGCAGCCTGGAGGGCGTTCACGAGCTGAATGACTCGATGCGGAAGAGGCGCAGAGTGCTTGTATTGAGAAGCTTTATAACGGGAATCTGAATCTGCTGCGTGTTGTTTATCGCAGTTCCCAAGGGCCAGAGCGGACTTGCGCCGCCTTGTGCGCTCTCGCGCGTGCTTGGATTTCTTTCTTTTTGTTCTGAGCTTGGTTTGTGATTCGTCGAGAGCAGCGGAGGAAGGGGCGTCGCCAGCCAATAGAAGCGTCTCCTCGAGACCAACGCTGGTGCTGCTGCTGCTGATGCGACTGCTGCGTAGCGGATCCCCGGATTCGTCTCCGGGATCGGCTCGGAAACCGCACTCGCTGGCCATGTCTGCAATTCCTGTTCCAGTGTGATTCTGAACGAATCACAATCTGCGATTCCTTGATCTGCAGCACAGTCCCCTCCTCCTTCTCCTCCTCCTGCGATCTTTGAGTCGACGTAAAGAATCTCAATCTGCAACACAGTCTCCTAGTCCTCCTGGATCCTGGGTGTTTCACGTTGCTGGGTCGGATCCTCGTAGACGAGTTGACTTTTGAGTCGACTCGAAAGTCTACTCCTGGGTCCTGGGTCGGCTCCTCGAAGACGACTTTCGAGACGTCTCAACACTCTTGCAATCCTCGGTCAGTCCCTCCAGACGAGTCTGTCTATCTGCGCGTCGCAGGGTTCTTTTTAACTGTCGGCGGGTTCTGGAGCCGAGACAGCGTAGCCAGTTCAGTAAGGACAATGGAGGTGTCTTTAAGGAGAAAAGGAGTTAGTGATCGTTAGCACGTTCTGAGTGCGTCGTTGAATCGAGTGCGGCACGCAGGACCCTAGAGCCAGCAATTCCTTTTAACCTCGGCCACGAACTCACCGTCCTCGGTTCTTCCCTTCCCCAAGAAAGTGAGGAAAGGCGAGGCACACGTGCTCGACTTTCTCACCGTCTCTCCCGCCACGCGTCCCTCCACAGCGAACGGGACATGCATCTGCGAGGGAGCGGGACGCCAGGAGAAGGAAGTGTGAGATCGCCTTCCTGCGAACTTGGGACAGGACAGCCCCCAAAAGTACAACTATCTGGGTCCAGCGTGGCAGATTTCACGTTGCTTCCACGCTGCTTTCACGCTCTCACCTACTCTCCAGTGTGCGATCAACATTTCCTGCACGACTCCATCTACGATCTGTGATCGCATCTCAAATCTAGTTGGTCAAGCCCAACCGTCCGATCATGAGGGGTGTTCGCACGTTGGGGACCTCTGAACAATTGCGACGTCCAGATTCGTTCCTCCTCCACCTCATCATCCTACCCCAATCTCTTGCACGCGCGGAATGCACTTTTCGCTGTCCCCACTTCAATGTCCGGACACCCCAGGAAGGCGATCTGAAACACGAGCAAACATAACCGCGGAATGGGCATCAGCTGCTAGAAATACAGTTTTGTGAGTGTGTGTGTGATGCTCTGTTCTTGGTGCGTGGAGAATGTCTTTCTCGCACGTGGCGCGGAGGGTGAATCTCTCTCGAATCTCCTGCGTGGAAATACGTGTGGCTCAGAGAGCCTCGATTGCCACTTCGTTTCTGACAGGGCCGCGAGTCAGACCCAAAACAACCAATCAACAAGAAGCAGATTTTTCGTTCTAACTTCTGGAAGTTCCAGTAGGATGACACCGTTAAAGCCCGCAGCCCAAGTTGTTCAACCTTAGTAAGGCTGACCGCTGGGCTGTGGACTCGAGACTTGATATTAACATTCCATATTCTGTACCAAACGATATATACGTAACACTGGAGCTTAGCACGGCATTGTACAAGTGTTTTCTGAATATCAGGCATCATGGTGTAAACTCCCAACACCCTTGCCATAATGCCTCAGTCCCTACAACAAATTTTTATATGATATTCAGTCCCTCTTGGACCTCCGAGAACTTGAAGCTTGCATGATTGAGGCCTCTGCTGAAATGATGCGCGCCCAGCAGCGCCAGAGAATGAGAAACGGCACCAGAATCCAGATGGCGTTCATGCCAACAAAATAGCCCCAAAATTAGATCGGATGGGGGTCTGAGTGGGGAAAGCCTTCCAAGTAGCTCGTGGCAAAGTACACAGCTGCTCCGTACAGCTGCCCAAGAGACACTGTGAACTGCAGCAGATTGCTGAAGGGCTTCCGGGCTGCGATGGCATACCTGCATGCAGAAGGATGAACCCACAAAAGCATTGAAGCTGTCTAAGTCCCATAGACAGTTGGGCAAAAAAGGCTAAGTGAAACAAGTGTAAGGAGGAGCAGCTGTAAGCAGCACTCACAGAATGAGGATGCAGGCAGGGCCTTCGATGAAGGCAGTGACTGCCTCGAGAGAGACAATGCAGGTGTCACGGGTAGCATATCGTGAATCCGATATGGCGTACTCCTTCCCTGCATGGAAGTGAAGAGCAGGGCAGAAAGGAGGCGAAGTAATTATTTAAACCTCATCCAAAAGTGCATTAAGGAATGGTTGAAAAAAAGGAAAGGGTTTAAGAGTGGGTTAAGACACAGCACGGGCACGGACAGGGGGAGAACTAATGTGAAATGGGAGACTAGGCTACTGTGGAAAAATGAGAAATTAGGTCAATGGGAGAGTAGGCGAATGGAAAACAATTAGGCGTGCGTACAGGCATCGAGGAGGAAGGCCTTGCTGGTGCTGCTGATGAGGGCGGGGAAGGCGACAAATGCTCCCTCCATGAGCATGTGAATGGCACCCGTCACGGCCCACCAGCTGAAGGTGAACCGCTCCGACGCTGATAGATGGCGACATGAGCCTGGATGAAAGGGGAAAGTGGTGGGGGAGAGGGGGTGGGAGGGGGAGGGGGGAGAAGAGGGTGGGGGTGAGGACAATGAGACGGGACTATGAGCCTGAAATGGGTGGTGATGAACTTTGAAGGACAATGAGAGGGGAAAGCGCAAGAGGCTACCAACACGGGTCAGCAGGCGAAGAGATGAGCCTCTGTAACACCGATTAGCGAGAATGGGAGACAGGCGGGAGGATCAGAAGGTTGACGGAGAATGAGGAATGGTGGAAGCTGGAACGATCTGACTTATCAGGCGAGATCGGAATTGCGTGGCTGCTGACTAGACGACAGAAAATGCTGGACTGGACGCGAACACCTGCTTCCGGAAAAAGCGTGCGCCTGATACGTCGACTCACGTGCGAAGAACCATGAGAGGATGAGGATCAACCCGACCTATTAAGGCGCCTGAAACGTCAACTCACGCGCGAAGAGCCATGATAGGATGAGGATCAACCCGACCTATTGAGGCGCCGTCAACTCACGTGCGAAGAGCCATGAGAGGGTGAAGATCACCCCGACGGCCACCCCGAAAACGCCGAAGAGCTCGGCCGTGCTCCACGCTGGTGGGACGTAGTCAGGCAACACGATGTCGCGCGGATAGTACGGATGCGCGACGCCGCCTGCCATGGTCAATGGTCAAGCCCGATGTGGTTCGATAAATAATAGCTGATCGAAAAATGTTTATGTTTCCTGAACAGCACCACGTGGCGACTTCTGAGCCACCCGCTTGCTTGGCGTGAGAGCAGATGACGCCTCACGAGGGTGTGGGTACAAGGCATGCTGTGCGGTTTACGACGGTGAATGTTTGTTTTGGCTATCACCGCTTTCCACAATGAAGTACCTGAGTGAAAGCACGCTGATTGTTACGAGAGCAATTGAGGGCGGGCAGCTCATCACAGCTCAGGTCAGTTTGGGGAACAGTAACCCTTTTTTGTAGGGTAACCGCATCAAGATTCGAAAACAGTCTGGATGACGTGCTCAGTTTCCCATCTTGCAAAACCAGTCGCATTTCAGATCACGATGTGCATTCGAAATTCAAACGATAAAATTGCAAACTGGACCGCGGTCCCAAATCAAACCCTCGCTGGCTCACTTGCTGGTAACAAGCTTTACCTTCGTCAAGCGAATGAGTTGTAGATCGCTTATGCAGATTCAGTCGCCCAACATTTCTGAAATTTTTCCCACACACCAATTTCCCGCGAATCCACAACACAATACGAAGCAGCGAAGCTCCGCATACATTGCCGCACTTCACGGCAGTGGAGCAAAGTGCCAACTATAGATGGAGTCGCGGAAAAAGGGCCTCTAAGTACGGCGCACATAGCCTAGTCCTCAAACATGTTTAGGCACGTATTCGTCTTAAATCGAAAGCCGCCCCTCACTTTGACCGCATTGGCCGCATTTCACGGCATAATGGTAGACCCGCCGCCATTATGCCTAAGACAGCAAAGCAGTCGCAATCGCGACTCGAACGATGTCACGGCGATGATGCGGGGCCGCCACGTATATCACGTAACCCCGGTATCCTTTACTTTGCAAGGTAGCTGCTGGAACCGCATAACTGGAAACCGAACTGGAAAACTATCGCGAAAAAGGGCTTTGCCATAAAGCTGCGGGAATGTTGCAAAAATGATACTTTTTGGATTCCTTGGTTTTGCAACTTTCCAGTTATGGTCAAATGTTGCAGAGATCGTGGTTGCGGGAAAAAGTTGCGAAAAAGTTGCATATACATTTCAGACACATGTATGCAGTTTCACCACCTGCCACGTGGCCTCCGCACAGTTTAGACTTCAAAGTGTACGTACCCTGGTATGTACGTGAAGATTTTTTGCCACGTAAGCAAAGATATTTGTGCCAGGTGTCATTCTCGATATGTGTACGGCAACTTGCCATGTGGGCCAATCAGACATGACCTTGAAGTGTGCGAAACTTGATTTCTACAAGCCGCCGTTTTGCCTGAACTGCACAAGCGGAGATTTCGTTTCACTGGCTGATTGTTATTGCTATTTTTTTATGTATACATTCGTTTGCAACACAATATTTCTGACATTTGCGTACATACTTCAGAAGTATACACTTTGCGAGAACACAGCAAAACAAGAAACACAGCTAGACCCAAGTACTTAGACGTAGCTAAACATCTTATATGAAGGGCACACATGGCAAAAAAATGTGTCGTTTTAACGCCTGCAAACAAAACAATGACATAACGTTAAGACTTTGGTTACTCATGTGCTTGTTCCCCACCTTAGTGACTTACCACCAGCGGGCCTTCACCGTCACTCATAACATTGCCTTAGATATGCTTGAGAGCTTCTGGGTATTGTTCAAACGCCTGGAAACATCTATTGACTTCCATGAACCCTGCACATGGAAATCGGCCCTGAAACACGATGACTACATCAACAAAAGAGATAACAACACTATCGTTACAGGCTGGACTCCAGACAACATGGGGTTAGAATGCGCATGGTTAAAAGCTCAAGCAGAGGCAGAGAGAGGCCTTGGTGCGACTACCACACTCACCGCGTTTCTCGCGCTGAAGACGCCGTGTCCCACACGATTTGCAGGCCACCAGTCCTAGTAATGCAGTGAGCATGCCGACGAGCAGTATTGGGAGGCTAGGGAAAAAAAGAAGTGCAACTAATTAAAATGCACTAAGGAATGGGAGGACTGGCAGGGGCGGGAAAAAAAGGAACTTACAAGCCATCGCGACAGATCTGCACACATATCGGCAAGATACGAACAGATCGATTGCTCGCGAAGCATAACCCGTGAGAATAGATGAACGAGTTACAACCTAAGGCACACGCACGGGAAAATGATAGCTTGGTTACGAGTTACAAAAAGCATGTGTAGCACACCTTTCGGCGCTTTTCGCGCGGAACCTGGCGATTCCGTTACTAGTCGCTGGTGCCGCGTTCTCCGCGTGTAGAAAACTTTGCTGTGTAATTTGTAAAAGGATAGGGGAGGATTCGCAGGGGCCAAATTGATAACATGGGCCTGAGATACAAGCAGTGGTAATAAAATGCAATAACACGTAGAAGTGATGTGGTCTTTAGGTAGACGCTAATTGTGCTAAGAGGACACTCAGAGGCAGGAGATGTGAAGAACCTTAGTCAGTTGTGTGAAAATGAGGTAGGTGACGGGTGTTTGGTCGGGAGAGAGTCATGCGCTGAGTGAGGGTAAGAAAGATAGATGCTTCTAGAGCTTGGAGGTGTGCTGAAGTGTCGTCAAAATATGCCGTTGATTTTTGCTGCAGGCAAGAGCACCCCAGTGATTGGTTAGTAAAAAATCATTAGGTTCGACCATTTCGTTACGGGTTAGCTGAACCTTGGTCCGTGGAAGCCACGTCAGTACCCGAAATCTGAACACTTAGCACTGATTGGGTGTGACTGTGAACCCTTGTGCCTGTTGCCAGCTCCGATTCCTGGTTGAACCTTGGCGACGGTCGTGCGGTTTGTATCCACGTTACCGTGTTCGCAATTTTCGAGAATGCTAACCTAATTTGTGCCAAGTGTTCATCTATCGGACACCTGCAGTTTCACAGCAAGGGAGACTCCCACATTTTGGTCGTGACCAGGTGTGCTGTTTGGTGCCGAGGTGTCGAATTTGATGCTAGAAATGTGCGGTCCGAGAAACCCACGAATCCGAAAATCACGCCTCGGGTTACCGACGTATCCAAAATTCGCGGCTCGGTTACCCCTTGTATCCTAAGTTTGTGTGAGTTGCTTTTTCCAGTCTATGCTTTTTGGATACATTCAGGATACAAGTCAGCAACTTTCCTGCAGCTTTCAGACTTGAACTCGAAAATTGGCCAAACCCTTTTTCGCGATGATACTACAAATAAAGAATAAACGGACAGCACAATCACTCAACTACCAGACCAGCTATCAGCACACCAGCTTCTAAACAACGCGAGCCTTGTGACGCTATGTCTTACTCGCAGCCCGACCCTCGCAGCAATACCCTCCGCGCATATGAAGACGAAGTGCTTGAAACACAGGAATCTGTCGCTGCTCCAACACCCAGTTTGTTTACACCTGGTCCTGGGGGTAGTACTACTATCGCGCAAGCAGGGCGAGGCCCTACTATTGTGCTGGATGACGACGAGCCGCTGAACCTTGCTGATGACTACTACGAAGAGCACCTTGACGAACTCCCGGATGTTGACAACTCTGGCTTCCTCGGAACACCTCTGCAGTCCACGAGGAACAACACCCCTAGTGATGCCAACCACACCCCTATTGTAACGCCAACAATCGCTGCTGCGGACACACGCACCCGTGTTCACTGGACTGCATCGGAAACGTTACAGCTGGTGCAAGCTCGGGTTGACCTTGATGAAGAGTGGGACTTGATGAGGGGAGTCCAGGGCGCTAACTACTGGACCTCCCTGTTCACCTTGCTGAAAGAGCGCCACCCTCAGTTCCGCTTCACTTTGGCAGCTTGCAAGATGAAGATGCTCCGCATCGAGGCCCAGTACCGCTAGCTCCGCGACCGGCTGAACCGTTCTGGAGCTGCATCACTGCGTTACAAGCTGATCTGGTACACCTTGATGGACACCATCCGTGGGAACCATCCGGCTATCGTCCCCCCACATCGCGTGACAAGCAATGTGGCTGGTAACCCGCCGACCGCACCAGAAGGTATGCCATGCTTTCTACCACATACTACTCAAAAAAAGCACCCACAAAACCCCACCACCTAGTCACCTATGTCTGCGGCCGACTAACTACTCTAATCTCTAACCTTTCATGGCATAAAACCCTGCGCAATGGATAGGACCACCACTGCCCCCTCGGTGGGACCAGTGCGCTCCCGCCGCGGACCAGCCCGTGCGGACGGCCCAACCCAGGTCGCTGCAAGCGTGGACGCAACCATCCTTGCTGCAACAACCGGTGGGAGCTCGTTCGCGCCTCGGGTTCCTCCACCAAGCTTCGGTACTACACCTCCACCTGCCATTCCGGTCGTTGCGGGAACCAAGAGGCCCCGCCCATCAGCTACCCCACTCCCTCACGGCGGTGCCACGGTCGATGATAGCACTTCACCGAGGTCCGGCCCCAGCCCTTGTTCCGCGGCTGGGGCGAGGGCGCCTCCTGCAAATGAGATTCCAACGCGTGGTAATGGTCGTATGAATGGAGGGGTGAGTATTATGGGGCCTGAATCTTTCATTGCAAACGCAATGGCCGAGAGCATTGCTTCTGCTACTAGTGCTGCAGCTGATCGTGCATGCGATAGGTTTGAATCACTCACCCGATCCTTGGTCGGTTCATGGCCGGATGTGAGCGCACCCATCCCGCGTGCAAATCAGCCGCAAGACGATCTCGACGGAGAGACGGCGTGAAGCCCGGCGCATCCTCTGGAATAAGACGCACACCGGTTGCTGGTTCGGTCAGCCACCAACGGTGCGCGTCACGTGGTGCGGTCGCTCGTGGACGAGACCCGAGGCAGTTTTCAATGTTGTGAAGGACGCAACATGCACCGACCGTGCGGGGCACCTTGTTGGGATGCGACTGCATCATGCCGTCCATTATGCGGTACTTCCCTTTGAGGCAACCGTTTGTTTGCTCAACCACCATCCGCTCCCTGCTTGGCAGTTTGTTGTAGATCGCTTCGGCGTCGCT